TTCTAGTCATTGTGTATCGCCCAGCATTAATTAGAACATGTTTGGGTCAAAAAAATCAAAAGGAGCTTCTTCTAATTACACAAAAATGTGCTGCTGTGAATCCAGTCTGTACCAGCAGCATTACTGGATTCACCACTAGCTCTAGTGTTATATGTATGCTCACTAGCCACTTTACTAGAAACATCTACCTTGTAGCACCGCCTTAATTGTGTACACCACACACCATTGAACTACCATGTCAGTGCCACTGCTGTGTTGAGAATGATCCACCATCCAAATAAAATCTGAAAAACAGTAGTCCTGTAAAAACAGTAGTCTCATGTTGAATGAGAAAGCGGGTGATAAATTGTGCAACACATAAATTGTCCATAGTTGAACACTCTTATAGTGAAGCTATAAGGCAGAGATCATTAGGTGGACATTGTGTGGAAGTGAAAGGTGTTTCTAATAAGTGGACAGTGATTGTATAAAAGTATAGGGATTGTGAGGTAATAGTTTTGGTTGCAAAATCAATACAGTTGGTGTTTCAAATCAAAAGGTGATCATGAAGCTAATATTTTTGTACAGGTGACAGTTTGAAAACTGCATTATCCCCATAAATATAATTTTTGGGACAGATAAATAAAAAAGAAGTTAAAACTCTGTAAACTTTTATTCAGTGAAAGTGTTTAAGTAATGGATGCCTCAAGTGTGTCATCACCAGGGTTATTTTGGTGACTAGAACTATTACAGTAATGAAAAGTAGCTGTGAAAAAATGTGCTTATTAACTGTGATAAAAATATATTTTTTTAGTGTGTCCCTTCTGTGTTCGGCTCTCTTTAAGAAAAGCTGAAGTTGAGCTGAGCTCAGTCTACTGTTTTAGTTTTATTCTACCCATATAATACCCAAATACCTACTATCACAGCATTCATCATAATATTAAAAACTAAAACTGAAACTAAATAAAAGCTAAAGTTATTACTTTTCTGAAAATAAAAACAAAACTATAACTATTCATGTACCCTAAAGATTAACTGAAACTAAACTGAAAAATTTAAACTTAAAAATTAAAAATGTTTAATGTATAATAATCTTATTATGGTGCACCTACTCTACAAGTGCATAGGTTTCATTTTAGTAGGAGGCTCTAAAAATGATAGATAGATCACTTTATTAATCCCAGAGGGAAATTCTTCCAATGAAGGATCTTGAAAATGAAAATGAAGGAATCTTACATGTTTTCAGAATGATGAACAGAAGCTATAGATAAATCCATAATAATTCAGAATGCTGCATAACAAGAATGAACGTAAAAATATTTAATATAAAAGTATTTGGTTGCATTTCCGCTTCAGTCTAGAGGTGTATCAAGTGTGTAACCTGATGACATCATCAGACTCCGATGCTTGCTGTCTTCCTTTGAGACAAGGCTCTACCAAGTAGCCTCTTTCAGCTGTAGCTTGTTTTAGAGGTTTTCAGTTTCCAGCTGTTCTGTATCATTTTTGTAATCCTTTGTAAATTCCAGTGTTTCTGTTCTTGTTTTTATTTAGATGTTTAGTTTCTTTATTTCTCCTCTCAGAGTCTTCTGCAAAGGGTGAATTGTGATGTTTTTACTTGTTTCTCTGTCTACAAATGTTTCTTGGGCTGATATTTTAGTTTTTTTCTGTAAAGCTCTTGTGATTTTTCTGTTGCCAGTTGCTTGCTCCTGCTCTGCTTTCTTTCTACTTTCAAGCTTTTCTGTTCTGTTGCGTTTGCAATGTCCAGCCTCTTTGCTGTTGTTTTATCTGATATTTTTTGTTCTCTAGTTTTCATCTTGGTTTAGGCCTTTCACCGCCAAAATACAGACAAATAGCCAAACTCTGCCAATGGCTACAGCCAGTCCAACACCGTCACAGCTCCTGGGCATTCCTATACTCACACTGAGATGTCCGTCCGCCGCCTGAGGGATCAGAGGTCATGGGCATTCAGTTGTGGTTTGCGGCCTTACCCTTTACTCATCTTCAGATTCCCTAAACTGTTTTATGATATTATGCACTGTAGAGAGTGAAATACGTAAAATTCTTGCTTTCGCTGTTTGAGGAAAGTTGTTCTTGAAGTGTTGTATCATTCACTGCAAGCATTCTTAGCAAAGTGATGCCTCTTTACACATCCTTGCTCATGAAGGGCTATTTTTCATAAAGGCCCTTTTCTGGATGTATATATTTCAAGCAAATATGCTGCACAGATAAATAGCTTTACATCGTATTTTCTCAGATGGCCTAAGACATTTGTACAGCGCTGTATTTTATTCAAGTGAAAATGTTGTACACATTTGAGTCAAGTCAAAATCAAATCGACCACTTTTTTCAGTGCATCAGTTGCTGTGAAGTATCCATAACGTGACCTGTGAAAGAAAACGGGGGAGTGTGTATTCTGCATTGTGTGACTGCCTGTCTTTCTGAGTGTGAACTTCACACCTCTCAGAAACCCCAGCCGCGCCACGATCCGCTCCGGTGTCAACACATTAAAGCTCACGCAGCCTGGGTGCCAGTCTCCACAGCAGTGCAGGCTTACTCAGGAAAGCACTTTTCAAGCCTGTGACATTCAGAAGGATATAAAAAGAATGTGAGAGGGCCGCTTGGGGGGAAAAAGGTTTTATTCACTTATTCTCAGTGAAAAACAACTCAAGAACAGGTGGAATTCCATTTGTGCTCCTGACAGCACAGAGCAGAAATTCAGAAAGGCACCCTACTTTGTTTGACTGGTTATTGGCATGGCTACATCAACTCACTGTGCACTTAGAAACACCTGCCTTCTACTTCCTCTCACCGACTGCTTTATGAGCTCCATGTACCTTATAGCTCCACTGTATAAGTGAACAATTACAGACTGTACCATGTTGGTGAAGGTGAATGCAAGTGAATGGTGCTGTCTAGAGTGCAGGGTTGGATAGCTACTGAAAAATTAGTAGTTAGCTACTTTGTAGCTACTTTCCCAAAATTTGTAGCTAGCTACAATTTAGCTAGAACAAGTTGTGGCTACTTTTTAGCTACCTTTTGAAAAGTAGTGCACTACTTATTAGCTACTTCCAAAGTGCGATTGTCAGAATGTTTGTGAATCTCCACCTGGCACACAAACGAGCCCAGCTGACAGTGTGAACAAGACACTGCATTTAATCATGTGCCAGAAAGAAACATACAATTGAAAAGCTGCAAATATACAAAAAGATCACCAAAAGTAAAGTTTAAGTGTAACCAACAATCAAACTTGCACAACCAAAGGCGTGATATACAACAAAATGTAGACTAAGTAAAGGCAAAGTCAATCATTCCTAGCTTCCTAGTTTTTCCTAACAAAAATCAACAAAAATAACCGTAAACAAACCAAACAATTTTTCTCCAATTTAAACTTTTCAGCAAGATATGTACAGGCATGACATTCAGAGCCCTTTGTTAAACTTCAGCAACACTTTAGCCCCATAATTTCCATCAGTGTCTCTGGCTCTGTGCAGTACTATTAGTAATAACCTATTATGAAAATGTTTCTTCCACTTTAGCTAAGCCAGGGGTCAGCAACACACTGCTCTCTTACTGCCCTGTTGCGGCTCCACAGCAGAATTAGATTTTTAGGTAAAATAATCCTCCTTTACTGTAAAATAAAGCTCTGCTGATCGTTATAACACACAGTATCTAACACAGTTTTCACAATAAATGGTCTTAAACGCAGGAGTTAATGTATAACTGCTAATTCCCCTGCCTTTAATGCTGAAGATTGATGCGCAGACTGCTGGTCACAGCAACACAGACAACCTCGCCTAGCTAGTAGCTAACGAAACGGCAAAGAGAAAGATTTAAGACGAACATCGATAATTTGGAGACGAATGGACTTACCTGCATTTATAATCACTCCAGCTGGTTTCCTGATACGTTTAATCTGCAACGAGAAACTGTCAAACACTAAGTCACGAAGGTGAAGTCGCCAGCTTCTCGTTCGAATTTTCCCGTTCCACCTTAAATGGCGCAGCAGTACATTCTTGCACGTCAGGCACCATTTAAGGTGGAACGGGACAATTCGAACAAGAAGCTGGTGAATGAGAAGCGACTTCAGCCTCACAAAAAGTCAAACGTTGAAAGACATTTTACAAGAAACTCTACTTTCGTGGAAAGGTTTCCTGACTGAGGTGCGAGAAAAGTGGCTACAGCTGACCTAAAGCAGAGCAAAGTAAGTCTCTGTTTTCGTTTATATCATATTTTAGTCCATTTTAGTACCTTAACACACACTGAGACTTACTTACAGCCAAGATAGTAAAACGGACATAAAATGGTGTTGCTCCCAAGGAGGTTTCATTTTTGTTGAAAGGACAAAATGGCGCTTCTTACATTTCAGTTGCCATCCCCTGAGCTAAGACTGCTAGTAAGGGGTGATGAGTGTGTGGGGCCAGCGCATGACCGTTTTTCTTGAACTGTCCGTGGCTTAATCTGGATTGCACAGTCGCCACCTGCCCAGTTAACAGCTGCGTTCTGTGGTTCAAATTTTGCGTGGATTGCCTGAAATCTGTAGCAAAATTGTAGCGAAAATTATCACTATAGCTACACAAATATTTGTAGGCGCTACATCTATTAGCTACGTTTCATGAAACTGTGGCAGCTACAGCTTTTAGCTACACAAATTTGTAGTTCTCTACAAAAGTGGTGCACTACTTAGCTTCTCCCCCACGCTGCTAGAGTGCCAGATAAACCCTTAAAAAATATGTGCCAGAAACAATTCTTTGGAGCCATCCAAAGATCTACTTTTAGTTCCCTAACAAACCTTTCAAGGGGGTGGTTCATTAAAGGGTCATTTCTTCTAAATGAGTTGTAAGCATTAAGAACATTTTTAAACTTTAAAGAACTTCCACATAATGTACAGGTACTGTGTCATTGTTTTCCTAGAAGCCAAGAATCGTTTCGGAACCTTGCATGAGGGTAACACTTAATTAACTTTGTGGTTAACATTAGCACATAAATCTCACCTGGCTTTTCTATGTGTGTGAGTGTTTCAGGACTCCACAGAGAGGAGGATGACTGGCAAGACTCAGACCAGCAACGTGACAAACAAGACAGATCCTCGCTCACTCCACTCCAGAGTTTTCATCGGTAACCTAAACACCACCGTGGTGAAGAAGTCTGATATTGAGCTCATCTTTGCCAAGTATGGCAAAATCACAGGCTGCTCAGTGCACAAGGGCTTTGCCTTCGTCCAGTACGCCAGCGAGAGGAACGCCCGCTCTGCTGTGGCTGGAGAGAATGCCAGGGTCATCGCCGGACAGCCTCTGGGTCAGTGAGTAAACTAGAAAGTGTGGTGTTTTTGGCTTTGGTCAATAGAATCAAATCAGACATTTATATGAGGCATATGAAATGGCATATCCATGAGTACTTGTACTGGGCCAATATCAGCAGAAAATGCTGGATCCAGTTGTATAGTGTCTGGGTATGCATGGTATGCATTTAGGGGGCCTGTGAATTCCAGCTTCTTATGTTATGACTGCGTAAGTGTGTCCCAACAGCATTTAGACTCTATTGGATGGCGTGGCATGCCTTGGTAACTCATTTGAGACATAAGACATAACAATAACAAATTTACATGCAAATTACATTGTAATGTTTATATTAATTTAATGTACTTTTGTATGAGGGGCCCATGAGATCATAGTCCACTGAGCAGAGGAGCTACAGTCTGTAATTATACACTTTAGTAAACTTTAGTACAGCGCTTTAGTAAACTGTTTCTAATAAAGTGGCCAATAACTGGAAGTACAAGGTAAGTGTTCTCAATACATTGGATGGTGATTGTATATTGTTGTTGTTGCAGTTATTATAAGGCGTTCTCCACACAGATGGTTGACTTGAGAATCCACTAAACAATTGTTGCCCCGCTGTGCATTTTAAATTAAACTTTTGCACCTTCCCATGTGTTCACACACACACACACACACATGTTGGGGTCACACAGCACACTGAATCCTGTCATATGCATTGAAATGTCAGTTCATTTTAGTGCTGCAGTCGCACACATGTTAAACCTCTGTAGACTGCAGTCTGTCTGAGGTGTGCATATGGTGCACTGCTGCATAATGTGTTTTGTCATTTCGGACAGCAGGTGAGCAGAGATTAATTAATGCCTGAGGCCATATCATCCTCAATGAAAGCTGCACTTGTCCAGTTTAGTGTACAGTCAGTGGCTATAAACACCTCAGAACAGTGACTCCACTGGTAAAATCCATTCAAACAGGACACTGTGCAGTACACTCTTTAGTACACTTTTTGGGGGGTTGTCTCCTGAATTTTAGTCATGGCCTATTCCCACCTGTTAGCTAGGTCTCGGCCTATTACCACAGTGCTACCACGCTGAGAGAGTGAAGGCTAGCACGGGCTTCCTACGTGAAGTGCCACCACTTCTTTTCAAACAGCCGCTCATGCTTCTTTAAGGTGCAGGTGGGCAGTAGTTTTCTCTGAGGAGGAACTCGTTCACCCAACGTCCTTGTTCATATGGTTTATGTGAGAGGTAAATTCTGAGGCAATGAAATGGGTGTTGTAGCCTATTAGCTTGCTAGCATCTGTCGATTTTCGCCCTGTTTTACTGGTGCTTCGAATAGGCCTGTTGCAGTTATTACATGATCACCTAAATTACAGTTATATAAGATGATCAGAATTATTTAAACTGAGTGCAGTCGTTCTCCATAGCCATTAGATTTCACAGTCATATTATGCTGCAAAAAACAAAATGTCAACTGAGTTTGTTGGGTTAGGGCAAATAAATGCAAATAAAAGAAAGCAGTAAATGCGTTTGTTGAGACTTCATAGGGCTTATAAAAAAGTTCAGACTTCTAACTTGGTGTTTAGAGGGCAGTGCTGAGTAATATTTATTTGTTTGCTATGTAGCTAATTCTAATGTTTTTAGCATCTGCTGTCAGAATGATTTTTTGCTGACATTTTCTCTCTGGTGAAGAACATTAGCTTGACTCTACACATAATACTGTATAGACGTTTGTGTGATTCTGTATGCAGTATTGATTCAACAGTACAATCATCATTAGTTACTAAGTAAACATAGCTAACAAGTAAGGTGGCTAATCGGCCAATTTAGCTACTTTAGGCTTGCATTTTAATAATTGCAAAATATGAATAAATCAGAAGGGCGTTCAAGTATGCCCCCTGTGGGCAACTTGTTTTTTCATTAAAACTGAGACCACTAGAAAGCAGCATAACACATCATCTTCAGACTGCTCAGCATGCTTGGAGGAGAATTCTGTTGCATCAGCTAAAGCAGGGCCTACACTACCAGAATGTTTGCTTGATTTTAACCCTGCTTTTCCTCCTCTGACAAATTTTCACAGTCTAAAGCGATTTTTCGGGTCGGGAACTCATTCCTGAGCAACTGACTGCTCGGACGATGTGCTAGTGTGAGAGTCAGTCTTTAGCCTTCATCTTGATATTTTCAAACATGGTTTATTATTACAACTCCACAAGTCCTGTAGTGTGAGATGGTCAGCGACATAATTGAATGTGTGGGTCAGGCAATGGCAAATCAAAGCACAAGGAGGAAAGAAAAAAAGACAGAGATGTGAGTGCATGCCACATGTTCAGCGGAGCACAGAGACAGAGGAGCCGCCTGTAAGACAAGCAAAGAGTCACTCTCTCCCAACTGGTAATAAAAAATTTCTCCACTCTCACCATCACTCTGTCTCACTGTGATAGCTGCGTTTCTCAACCCCATCCTTATTCATCCTCAGTTTATGTTTTTGCTATACTTTTGCACAAACAGACACAGAGCAGGTATTATTTGGGTGGTGGATCGTTCTCAGCCCCTGCAGTAACATTGACATGGTGGTGGTTTGTTAGTGTGTGTTGTGCTTAAACAAGTGGATCAGACACAGCAGTGCTGCTGGAGTTTTTAAACAGTGTGTCCATTCACTGTCCACTCTGTTCGACACTCTTACCTTGTTGGTCCATCTTGTGGATGTAAAGTCAGAGACAGTAGCTCATCTGTGCTGCATAGTTTGCATTGGTCATCCTCTAGTCCTTCAACAGTGGTCACAGGATGCTGTTGGCTGGGAATTTTTGGTTGGTGAACGATTCTCAGCCCAGGAGTGAAATTGAGGTGTTTAAAAGCTACTAGTGCAACACACACTGACATGCCACCGCCACCCCAGTGTTACTGCAGTGCTGAGAGTGATCGACCACCCAAATAATACCTGCTCTTAGGTGGTTCTGGGGGCCCTGACCAATCAAAAACAGGGTAAAAAGGGCTAACAATGTGTGCAGAGAAACGTACGAGAGATGTGTGTGTGTGTGTGGTAATGAACCTGCTCTGAAAATGTATAGAATAGAAAGTACTGATTTTTCTTTTGCAATGTAGTGAGTAAAAATAAAAAAAAAACATTAAGTAACAGAAATACTTTTTTGTGATTGTTTTTATGTAGTGAATATGCTGCTACCTTTAGCTTTTATTTAACGCACATCTGTCACACATCATGTGCAATTCAGCGCACTCCCTGCTTTAATAAATAACCTTTTTTAATTATTCCACTCTTCATCATTTGAGTACACTTCAGAAACAAGACCCTCAATGCAGTTCTTCAAGCCTCTACAGTGTCTACCTACTCCAGTCCTAGAGCCCCCTCTGCTCTGCATAGTTTTATGTTTTCTTTACTCTAATCTTCTGTTCTCAGATGCCCTGTACTGATTGATTCACTTGTGGTCTTGCAGCCTTGCAGTTCCGGAAACATCATTACTACAAACGTTTGGCAAAGGTTCACATCAATGCGGACTCAGCAGGAGCCTCGCATACCAGCAAGAATGCACTAGTTGTTACGTTTACAGCTGCTTGACCAACGTGCCGGAGAAGACAATATTCAGGTGTGAGTTAAAATGCATTTATTTTTTAATTTACCTGGTCGTTGAGCTGCATTATGCCTCTAATCTGGATCGAGCCATGGTAGATAGACATATTACCTCATTTAAAAAAAACAATATGAAGTATGGTACATGTACAGCCTGTACGTCTCACGAATCTGTCCCAAATGCAGCCTTTTAAACCCAGTTTCTAGTTCTGTAGTCAAGACTACTAGAGGCGAGTCTGAATCAAGACGAGACCTGAACACATTGAGTCAAGAAAAAGACTTTGTAATAGTCGAGTCAGAGTCAAGACCGAGACCAGGAGTGGCCGAGACCATAAAAAGACAGAAACCAGATTTTTACAGCATATGAAAACAAAAAGAAGAAAGGGGAAAAAAATGTATTCACTTGCAGTTTCTTAGACATTCTTTATCATTCATTATACATACTATATTAATAAATAAGATTTTATATTATGATTTTTTTGTAATATATAACATTAAATGTTATATAGCCTAAATTATTAATTATTATTGTTATATTGTCAACTTAGTCCAACTTTGCATTGAAACATCTGTAAGCAGTTGAAGGTGAGGTTATTCTCTCTCTTCTTTTCTAAAGCTTGTGCATAATCACCACCTAAAGTCAACTGAATGAAAAATAAACAACATACATCCTTTTTTATTAATTAATGTAAAGATAGTTATAATAATATTCTGATATCCCGTCAGGGGGTGTTTGAATTTCGGAGCCATTGGACATCAACAAACAAATAATGCCCTTTTAAGCCATCATGGAAAGATCAATTAGACTTATAACCAGCATTTTTGCAGCAGGATTATATTTAAACATATAGAAAAAAGAGTGTTTTTTTCTGTTTGAAGGTTTTGTTGATATTCAATAAAGACAGAAAGAAAAGTTCAGGTTCTAATTACCTCAGATGGAGGCATCACAATCAAGGCTGGTCTCAAGAACAGTTTCCTAACCTCGAGACTGAGACATGACTGAGACTTTAACTTACTCTGAGACCAGACTTGAGTACCTCAACACTACCTAGCTCATCGTTGACATCAAGAAGTGCAGACATGGTGGGGGGCAGCGGAGCAGCAGGGCTCCTATAGCATCTGTTGGGTTTCGTCTCTCAATGAGGCCAAGAGCTGTCTGCTTTGACTGGTGCTATTTGAGTGGTGTGCAAAACAGCCAATCACAAATTATTGTTTTAGTGTGACATTTATAGGCAGGGAAAAGATTTAGAGCAAGGAAAACACAAATCTGTGCATTGCAGCAACTAGATTGAAGTTGGGAAGCTCTGCTCTGGCAGTGAGGTTTGAAGCCTCTTTGTGGTGCTGCAGTGCCTCTTTGTGTTCATAAATGTAACTGACTTCAAGCAAACCGCACGATTGTGAGCAAACAGTTTTATTATAATAGACAGGCTTAGC